TTTACGTCAATAACATTTCCACCACGAATTCATGCAAATAAAATCACCAGGGTGCAGGAAATGAGGTCCCTCCACTTATTAAATGCCCCCAATGTTGAGACCAAACCTACGCCGATGCACTTAGAAGGACGCCTCATGAATACAAGTGTTAAGACTGCAGGCACACTGATGCTCTCATAATGGAGTCACCATTCTAACAGAAAAGTGGCTGTGATAAGTTTCGGGACACTGTTTTGACCTTGAGAAAGCACTTAATTTAGATAAGAGTTACCCTTCAAAACGGCAGAGAATTAAGTCACTTTAATGCCTGGAGCACTCAGAGCATGACAGAGTTTAAATCTGTGACTTTGGGGCTGGAGGCGGAGTGTCCTGCTGGCTGCTCACCAGAGTCACTTCTATTCTAAAAGTACATATTCAATATGGAATTGTAAAAGCTACAGAGAGCAGAGTTACATGTCGCTCTTTTAGGATAGTGAATAATTAAAGTTGTTGGATCTTTAGGATTTTCTATAGAAGGACATTTTTGTGGTAATTAGTTGGTCATGGTTCCACGAGGATGAATTACTAATTAAATTACTATATGGTTGACATTAAGGTTGCAATCAATGGAGGAATCTTGTAAAAATATCAGCTTTACTAAGGACTAGACATAAACTACAATAAGATGGAACAACTGAGTGGTTCCCTTTTTTGGAAAAATATAGTAATTATTACTAATTATCTGTCAAAAGTTAATCCAATTAGTGCATCTGTGTCGGATCATATTCTGGGTTTCAAGCATCTAATTTTTTGTTTTTCAACCGTCAATGACATCTAGCTTGTTATTATAATCTACAGTATAACGGTTATTTGCAAGCAAAACACTGCATTCAAATTAAATCTTAAAAACTAAATCTATTTTTATTTAAATACTGCCTTTGGTTTCAACAACAAGTCTTGGCATTCAATTGAATTAACCTGCTCAGAGCTGTCTGTCATAATTACTTCTCTTTACGCTCAAGTTTCTCAAGAATACATTTTACAACGTTACATTTGAACGCACACTTTTGCCGGATAGAGCGTGCACACATCAGAATGAAACCTCATGGAGCCAATTTAAACCTCTAGTTCGCTGCGTCAGCCCGCCGCTAGCAGCTAACGCTAGCTGGCTCTCTGCTGCAGCATTCAACACGTAGTTACGGAGCCCCCGCCACAACTCAACTCTTTGTAATAAAGCTACTCAGGGAATGGCTCTCGTCTTAGTTGATATTGTTCTGATGTTATCCACTGGTAACACTAACTTACCAGAGGGGGACATGCATCTCCTGCCCACCCTCCCCTGCTGCTGCCAGTGGGAGCAATGAAAACCCTTCAGCCTGGTCAGCCACGGAGAACCATGTCAGCTAATAACGAATCCACAGAAGGCTCCCGGCGGCCTCGCTCCCCTGCCCCTCCTGAAGCTGTCCATGGTCCCTGATCCATGAAGCCGGGCTGCTGACGGGGCTAAACATAAAGACTTGCCCACATGGGTTTTTACTAAATCTCACGCATCCCGGTTCCGCTCTCTTACGGTTGCGGTTATCGTTCGGGGGCCCCACAACATGCCTGGAGCCTCATTCAGAGACACACTTGTGGGGCTTCTCTGACCCCCACGGAAACCTTCAAGTTCAAGGCTTCGGTTATCCCTTTGTTAGCCCCCCCCCCACTCTCCCTCCATGATCATGTGAGTCCAATTCAATTTTCTCCACAGCGCAATTCGATTTGAACAAATGTCTGATTGGGACTAAAGGAGCCATGTGACCAGACTCGTGTCCCCAGGGGACGTCTCTGCACAGTTGACTCGTGGTCTCTGTTATTAGATCAAACAAACAAGCGCACGAGAGGAGACGCAGCGACGGGGCCCGAGTGCCCGCCGCTGCTCGCCAGCGCACGCTGGCCTGTAGAATGAGAGAAGCACGACGCTCGAGTGGGTTCAACCACCGGGCCATTAGAATGCATCGGATTCTTCCGCTGCTGATTTCCTCCTCAGGAGTCCGACCCGCCTTTTAACTACCGCTTTCTTAAACCTCGCCCCCCCCCCGTGCTCAAAAAACACCAGCAGCCGGCCCGTCATCCCCCCCCCCCCCCCCCCAGGCTCTTTTACTGGATCTCTCGACCTTAGCTGGGATTGTATCTTTCGAGCGGGGGTTTTGGCTTCCCCCCCCCCTTCCCCCCCCTCCCCCCCCGGGGGCTTCCCACACACCCTCTCTCTCGGGGGGGTTTTTTTTGGTCCTGAACGGCTCCCTCTTCTCCCGAAAGATCCATACCTCAAATTCCTCTCACACCTGGAGAAAGAGGACAATTGTTTCCAGCGTTTAAACACCCCGCGGGCCGAAGGAGTGAAAGGATTCAGGGGGCATATTCTGAGACGGGCTCGGATGGGGGGACCGCTTATTCTGAACACACTAACTCTTTCGCTCTCTCCCTGCCTGATGAGTCACTGCCCATTTCTGTTGGTTTCTTCTATTTATCGGTCCCGCGGACAGCGGTGCAATACGCTTCGGTGCACTTTTACTTCAGGATCTCTTTTTTCTATTTTCTGCACAATCTGTGTTTCCCCTTAAATGTGACGTTAACTTCAAACAAGTATTTGGTAAATATCTTTGGATCTCGGGAGCTTGAATGCTATTTACATCGTCTCATCAGCAGCTTGGGAGTCCATTATGCAGCGTCCCCCCTCCCCCCCCCCAAACACTGCATTCTCAATAACGCTGAACCAACACTTCTGTGGAACAGAAGAAAGTTTATTGATTGTATTTTCAAACTCTATGTTTCACCATTAGCATTACAAAAAGAAAAAGGCTTTCCCGATGGGGACTACGATCTGTTGATGTATCACCCCCACAACCCCCCCGGTGACATTGATGAACCTAAGCCTGCACGCCATCGAGGACTGAGCCGTGATGTTCGCTGCAGTCCTGATCCAGTCGGATTTTGAAGACCTGCTCCTGCCGTTCATTTCACTGACTTATACACATCAAACCACCACGAGACATCGGCCCTTGCACCTATGTGAGATTTCTCTCTTGGTTAAACAGCCCTGAGACCTGGTTGGTGAATCCGCAGACGCCACAAGGATCCCGTTCTTAAATGGTGCCTGGCAACAGGGTGCTGCCTAATACCCAACACAGCACAGAGTTCCATTGAAATGGCATTTCGTGACGGAATGAAGGGAAAAGGTGACACAGCAACTGTTCTGCGTATTGAGTTCAGAGGATGTACGTGAACATGTTCGTCTCATCTTGTTTCTTCTCTTTCATGCTCCCCATCGCCTTCTGTTTCTCCGGTCCTGTCATCTATTCCTGCGACTTTCCTCGGGCCTTTTCTTTGCCCAGCGCCTCCTCCCTCCTCCTCCTCCTCCTCCCTAACTCTCTCTCTCTCTCTCTTCTGGGTGACCTAGCACCAGTTTCATTTCCGCTTGTTCACCCGTCTTTCTGCCGTCTCTTTTTTTTCGGGAACTAATCTCTTTTCCAATCTCTGTCTCTCTCTCTCTCTCATATATGCTTGTGCATGAGAGTTAATGAAGGAACTGCATGGGTAAACACACAGGACGACTGTCAGAGACGGACCGGAGCAGATATACTGTATGCATGCGCACCAACGCGCGCTGACAGATGAACTCCACCACCGACTGCGTGCTGTCTGCACTGACGTCACATCTGGCTCCTCAATTAGGCAACGAAGGAGAGTCTTCCTTGAGCCGCACATTCATCATTGGCATAATTCAAATACACGATATCTTCTGCGTTACTACAATAAACCTGCACGCACTTCTCGACCCCTGTCCGCATTGGGCTCTATTGTTTATTGTTTGTAGTGTTGGCCACACACTTGTTCTGAGAAAGCCACAGAAGGAAGCAGAAGGAACTTGTGATTGAAGTGTAAGAGGAACAATGTTCCCGGGTCCACATGCTTGCAAGTCTTCTTTTAGAACCAGCCGACAGTATTTTCAGTGAGGAAGTGACGGCGTTTTATGAGTAGATTTGTTTATCGCAGACTCCCAGTTGTACCAAAAAAAACCCCAAACAAGCTCAGTCAAATTAATCAGTCTGAGATTAGGATTCCCAGAGGACTGTGCCAGTTATGTTTTAGTGAGCCGTGCACACACAATTTCTGTAATAGCGCCTTTGCATTTTCCAAAATATACATATACTGATTTCTAAATTATTTCCTGCCTCTCAGGCCATACATTTCCGGATGTTGTGAAAATGATGAGACTGAGCTGAGACTCAAAAGTAGCTTAAGACAGAAAATCCATCATGGTTCTCTGCTGCATCAGCATTCACTGCAGGAGAAAAAAACTGATGCAATCAAGGCCACTTTGACTTTGAATTACAAAGATATAAATACATTTGATGGATGAAGAATAAAGACTATTTTTTTGCCCTACGGTTGACTGTCAGGCGTCACGAGGGCATCAGGTACGAGTGCCGTGTGCACAGTAAAGGTTCCGCCCCCCCGACGCTCCTGATGACCTGTCGGACTCTGGCTTAACCAGGAGTTTCCTACTGGACATTTCTGCTGTTTTGGTGTCAGTTTAATGCAGTTTAATCACATGGGTGTCGTCTATTAATTCACATGAGGAAATGTGAGGGAAATATCTGATTGTTTTAGACTCTGCAGTGTTCATCATCAGTCCTGTGATCTATTCAAGACCAAACCAATTTTGAATATCGCAGTTTCAAAGAAAATAAATAAAATAAAAAAGTAGCAACCTGCATGATTAATGGAAACTAACAATTGAGTCACCCTATTGTGCTGTGTTGTTACATTGCCATTTGTGCCTTTGTTTGTTTATGAATGCGTGCACTATCTCTCAGGGTCATAAATAACCTCTTTGTCCTTTAAACAAACTGAACTTGTCTTGCAGCTCACTTGTCGGCTGCGTTGCAAACAAAGAGTTGGTGGAGGAAGAAGCAGAGACACACATTAAAAAGCAGTGCATGCGGAGTTGGAACAGAGCGGGAGGTGAGTAATCTTACCATCGTCTCCTGATCCTGAGCCTGCGTCTGTGGAGGAGAACAAACAGTTATTAACGAGTTTCACATAACCACAGACTCCGGCTGAATGAGCCTGTGTATCTTTCTAGGTAAGAGTGCGTGGCTCGGCCTGCCAATATCAGCTTGTGAGTGCCCCGGGGCGCTAATGACGCCATTTATTCTTATATCTGCAGCTTCTGTGGAGGTTTGGTGCAATGTTAATGCTGCAAATCCCAAACTGGGACCCTTTATGAATATAACTGGTCAGTTTTATCAACATGAATGTACATTTGGTTTTACAAGGGGTTTTGTGGTAGTTTCCCAATATGTTGTCAGATAAAAAAACAATTCTACGCAGTCAACACTGGAATGTAATGCTACAAATGGTGTTTGACTAATAACAGTGTGGCCTGTTCTTTATCTTCAACAGTGCAGAAATAGCAGCTTTATACACAATTGCATGCAACAACAACAAAAAACGATAAAGCTGCATTCAAAGATCAATTAAGTATTCCAACGTTAACGTTATCAAAAAAAGCTTCGGACTATTTGTTCCAGCTCAGGAGAGACACATTTGGCGCTCTCGTGTGCGCATTGGAGTGAAGCACATTCTTTCTAACGATGGCGCAGAAGGTGATACTAAGATGAAAAACCAAGTGCGCCCCGGGGCTTTGGGCGCCTCGCATCGTCTCCATCCTGCAGCAGAACATTGAGGTGAACACCTGCACGCGCGGGCGGGCGGGCTGCAGGATTGCGCTCGTATTACGGCGGCTCCTCATCCCCACGGCTTTTACCCCCGATCTGCGCGGAGCCCCCTCGGATCGCACCGGGCTTTCTGAATCTTGCTGAGCAACGCACCCGCCAAAGGGATGCTGATGAGCACTCGTGGGGAGAACCGGCAGCGTGCAACCCGAGCCGCGGCGTAAAGCGATCCGCTAAAATGCCCGGGGGGGGGTCAGAGACCTCGGAGGACTGAGGGGATAATAGCTTCAGATCCATACGAACATCACGCGAGAAGGGCTTAGAAGAAGAGGTCCGCACACTAAAAGTCCTGATACTTTAATGACGTGCGCTGCGGGTCGATGAAATACATTTCTGATGGGATAATACCGCGTCTCCAGAGGGATGATTCTTTGAGGTCAGTGCAGCAGATGTGCAGCTGAGCCAAGGGGAAGGACCTCTCAAAGCCACCAGTCGATAAGCAGTGGGCCGGGGGGGGAATTATTCTACTCTTTTGTTTGACTTTTTCCATTTAAATAGTTAAGCCGCTTTAATAGAGACGTGGTAGTTTAAATAAACAGAATGTCCGCTTTCCCTTCACATCAGTACATCCTGTTTGAATTTCAGGGAACCTCAAGTCAAAAACGGTGTGTAGGCTTTAAAAACGTTTTCATGAAATGTTCGCGACATTGAAGACTGTTTCTATGAAAGCTACTCTCTGTATTTCAACCCAGCCAACGGTTTCAACGCTCACGTTTCCACCGCTGTCTTGAAGAGGCTTCTCCTTAAGTTCAGACACAATAACACAACAGACATGGAAAACCGTTTGCTCTCCGTAATGTTGTCGGCCATTGTTCTGCGTTCATAAATGAGTGTGAACAAGGAGCTCTTGAAGTGGTCGTATAATGACGCTGAGCAACGGCCCCTCAGGATCGCACGGCAGCCAGCTGCACCGCGCTTGTTCAATACCGGCCCAATTTAGCTTCCCTTTGATACACTAAGACGCGTTGCGATACTCCAACAAAGGCAGAGAAGAAGAAGTCTGCCAGCAGGCAGAAACGGATGTAAACAATGTCCAATTCTAAAGTCGGCTAATCGAGCGTTTAGCGTAGCCTGAAATGCCTACAGACGCGGCTGTTGTACCTCAATGATACACAAAAAGGACCGTTTGTTGCGTCACAACGAATGCAAATAGAGGCCGATACATCTTTGTTGTCCACAGGGAAAAGAAATAGCTCAAAGTAAATCATGTACAAAATGAATGCTCTCCTCTGCTCTTGATCCTTTTAAACCTGCAGATATCCGTGACCTTGGTACATGCGGCACACGGCATGGACGGTGTTTCATGAGAAGGCTTAGCTCGGAGGATCTGGGCTTCGCGGGAGATCAATAAAACCTTTAGTATCTCTACAGGTGCAGAGGTTTCAGCAGAGAAAGACTGGCATTAGAAAATAGAGCGAAATGGCCAGGAAGATATACGCAAGAGCGCTTTCCTGCCCACTTGTCTGCCAAATAAAGGGTCGCAATTTTATTTAGTGAGAGGCACAGAAAGAGTGCAGAGGAGGAAAGCCAAGAGGGAAAGACCTTTGTGGATAACAGATGATTTTCCTTTCAGATTCGTAACGATTGATTAGACGAGGGAGAAAGCCGAGAGAAAGAGCGAGGAGCCTTCCAGGCAAACTGTTATTAACCTCACTGAGCTGCTTCCATCGGATGCTAGACGGCGTTGGACTCACACGCACCAATAAACACACTTTTCTTCTGCTGTAAATAAGGCTTAAAAGTTTCTGTTTCAGTTTGGGAACAGGGATGTAGACGGACAATGTGTGTGAGGCCTTTTTATACATCAAACTGCTTGTGGGCCGAAATGTGATTCTCATATTGGGAACAATGTCTACAGCAACAAGAGGCAGATGATTTGAGCTGAGGTACCAATGGCAACCTTCAGTGTTTGCAGCTTAAAAGCAGCTTGCTGGGGAGATGAAGTCTGAAAATACTCTTCCATCAAAGCCCAACTTGAGAGGAAAATGTTCAGCTCAGAAGGGAACATATGTTTTTTAATCTACTGACCACCGGAGTTGGCGTGTCACAGCAATATGAAATAATCTTCCCCACCAAATAGCTTTCTAGATAGAACGCAGATCCCAAATTAAAATATCAGAAGCTACCGGCCGCCCGGTTCATCTCTATATCCCACTATAATTTGCCAGAATTGCTGATGTTTCCTTCCTGGGTACGATTAGAGGATACTTTTCAGGTTCAAAGCCTCATCGAGCCCACTATCTCTAGGATTTATGAGCATATTGCAGAAATCTGCAGGGCAGCATTTACGTCCAATCCCAACATGGCAACATTTATATAGGAAGAAAGCTTGTGTCTCCATTTCCCAAACTTTGAATGCATTTGAATGCAGTCTGGGATTCTAGAGAATCATCAGTCATTGAACACTGAAGTCCCAGTTAGAAGATAAAGTTGTCACCACCCAAAATGTCCTTCAGGACGACCTGAATTCCGGTCTGGGTCGCCGCTCAGCAGCTCGTCTTGACCTCCGACCTCCCCTGAGGACAACAAGCCAATGGATAAACTCTGCACAGATCAATAGCGTATTAGACTATCACCACTCAAAGTGCTTAGCATTCAGACAGCATTCTGTATATTCTTATACACAGAGAACTAGTGGCGTATTGATGACTTGTCCTGTACTATATGTGAGATTACACCGACACTGATCGTCATTTAGCTCACGGTCTACTGCCGACGCAGCCCGCGCTCCTTAAATCATCACAAAACATATGGTTCCTGTCGTCTGTTGGTGCCCAAGGATTTGCAGGGGGGCAAAGTGGTGATTAAACATGTCGTCAACATTTTAACGGGGTGTCAATTAAATCCTCTCCCGACTCCCCAACCAATGACTTCCTGGAACTTACGCAGTTGATATTTGCGATTGGAGTTGGAAAGTGCTGCGTGAGTGCTTCCCTTAGCCAATCTCCCTCCTTTGGGGAACACGCACTGCTTAGTTTGTTTCACTTGACCGAGCTAATTCCTTCTCACTGCGCCGGCCCGGCACTCGATGTGATACCATCCTGTGGTTATCAGCTGTCGCTGGTTTTTTGTAACGCCGAGAGCTCTCTGCATTATCGGCCCCTAAATCAGAACGTCCTTATCTGTCGGTGGCACGAAGATAATAAAGACTCTTAATGGACTGGAACAAAGGAAGCGTGAATTTGCTTCTTTGTCCGACAGATGTCGCACTGCAAAAGTCAATAATGGGCTCCAACCTAAACCTCTGTGGTATAATGCCGCTCGTGAGGGTGGGGGGGGGCGGTTTTTCCACGGCGGACACCACAAGATGCCTCTACTCGGGACCAAAGGAACGGAGGGCTGCGGTATCAGTTTCGTCTGCGCCTCGGTGCCGTCGCTTGGCAGGGAGCTGGCAGCTCGGCGCGCCTCCTGCTTACCGTTTGGAAGGACGGCCGACCGGAACGTCTGGCCTCTCGGCCTCAGCGGCACCCAGGAGGGTTGAAGAGGAACACAATAACGCGTGGCTGTTACGCTGGTAAACACTGGGATGGTCTGCCGTATACAGTGAACACGCAAAGAGGCCTGGTATGCTAAGAAGACAGGTCAAATGTGTGTGGACGTGAATGTGAAGGTCTAGCGGCTAATAATTAGCGCTCCTCCCTCTCAACTACTGCTGAGGCCATATTCAATAAAGCCAAATTTTAATTCCAGTTTTAATTCCAGCGCACTGAATGTCTGTATCATTATTGTGTTGACTTTACTGAAAAAATGACAATCTGAGAGGAAATGTTAGACTAACATCCATCAGGTGAGTAGAATCCAATTGTTAAATTACTGCTAATATTGCTCTGCTGGTGGCATTTAGAATCTGTTCTAAATGTCAGTCAAATGTCCTATTTGAGGCTACTGTAAAAATGTATGGAGTGAGAGAGCTACGTTTTATGTGTTATTCACATAATCTCTGATGATTTGCATTTTACACATTCTGCTAACATTATAAGTTACAATCAGTCAATATTCATTATCATGGGAATTGTTTATCAGCACAATTACTTCACGAGGGAATGGTTGAAGTCTGATCTCAAAACCTCACGTAATGGTCGAAGAAGTAAATGTGGCAGGATTGTTTTCTCAACACTAACAATTTCTCTCGATTGTAGCCGTAATAATATATTAATTCATATAAATAACGAGAGCAGTCGTTTTCATGATGTCTGGCACCCCAGCAATGGAAAACGAGTGTTGGAACTGGCAAGCAGACATCTATCCGTTATCCTGCTGTTGGAGTCGAAGGTATTCTGGGAGATGGGGAGGAGGACAAGGAGAGATGGAGAGAGAGGGAACAACAGAGAGGTTTTGTGCCTGTGAAGTTGGGCTGAAGTAGCTTTAATGCTCACATTACTTACAATTAGTTGCTCGTATCGTCGCTGTTCGTGATATCTCTGAAGGTTTTTTCGCCGCTGCACACATTGTGCGTTGGCTTTGCACAGAGTATCAACTAAACGGCTAAGTGGTGAAGAGAGCCAAGAGGAAACTGTTCAGAAGTAGCTGCCTGCCCTACTTTTCCACATGAAAGGGTTGCTTATGTAAGAAAGCTCCCACACAGCAACATCGTCATGTGTTTAACTTCAAAATGAAAAGCAAGCATGTGTAAATCTAGATACACACATGATATCGACGATTTTTTACTTCAACTTCACTGTATTTTATTTATTTTGAAATTTCCTCTAAATATGCTGAAGCTGCAGTTCATAGGTTGGCACTTCAAACAAAAACAAAAGTAATTCACACCCATTTTCTCATGTGCACATCCCTTTATGTCACGCCATAATAACTTGTTACCATGGCAAATACTTCACTTGTTCAAATCAAATTTGCATTCATTTCACAATTCCTTTAATATCTGTTTACTACCATTATATTTTAATGAGTGCCTTCGGGCCCCACCGAAACATGACCCCCCCCACACTGAAGAGAGCTGTTTCCTAGCTGCCTTTGACATTTTGTGAACGACCGCCAGCGGAAGCCGATAATGCTCACATTATGACAGAAGACTACTCGTTAAAAAATAAGATGAAAAACCTCAATAAATGATTAGAGATACGTAATCAATGCAAATGCTTCCCCGCGGGGCACGACGACTCACTGAGCGGCTTGACGAGCTGTGAATCATAGGATCCGACCTTCAGTCACCAGATGTTGATCCAAATGAGTACCTATCGCCTCCGTTGATCGGCACACACATCGCAAAGAAGCGCTTTAACTGGCATTCAACAGAGCACACTTTTATTAACATTTAGTCCAACAAGACATGCACATATTTTAGTTTTAGGAAACTAAGACGGTATTCGATGTAAAGTAGCATTCTAGACGATACAATAAGAATGTGGTATGGCAGCGGGGCGTTGTCTTATTCCCATCCGTGTTTTACAGAGAAAAGGAAGTGCACTTTGTAGCTTTTATTTTGTTGAAATAGATTAGAATTATTATTCCTAATTGTCTCAGGGACACTGCTGCATCAATATTACAATTAACACACTTTCAGCCTTTTGTCATCTATTTGCTAGTCTCAAGGGTGCATTTAATTCTTGACAAATTTGACAATTCCTTCCCTCCGTCACGCCGCAAAAGCCCACACGAGTAAAAAAAAACCTCTGTGCTAAACTGAGGAGGAGGAGCGAGAGTCGGACTGCAGTGTATTGAAAACGGATCGGCCCGTGAGAGTGACGTGCAGTTGTTTTAATTTGGGCCTCGTCCCGGAGAAACAGCGCGTCTGAGGGCAGCATGTGACGCCGAGGCGAGCGTGTCGCACAGCCACTTTCACGGTTTGACTGTAACACAAAAACATCCTTGTTTGAACTCCTCAGAGGCACCGCTTGTTGCCTGGAAGAAAGGAGACTCTGTCCCCCTTTTCCCTTTCAGAAGATCCACAAATCCATATCACGCACACCGGCTATCACATGGCTCGCAGGAGGACTCCACGCACGAGTCCACAAACAAGCACTTTGGAGAGGAGCCGCTGGCACGCGGACGCCGCAGCGGCCCTTCCGAGCTCCGCTGAGCTGTGCCCACTCGAGGGCCCTGTAATGGACGGAGCCAGCGGTGCCGCGCCAACCCGGGCCGGTGACTCGCGGCGGCCTCGGTAACGGCCGACGTCACTTCGGCGGTGGATCCCCTCGTTCGCGGGCTTACTCGGAACATGAGTCACTAATTGTTTGATGGAGAAGAGATTCACTTGAGGGGGCGCGAGGGGAAATGCTCATTTCGTAGTGTACGCGCTCGCCCACTTGGATTTGTCATCACGGGATGCAGCACATTACACGGGCCAAACATAATTACACATGTTCTCATGGTACGAGAACTAGACAGGCCCAAATGAAAGCCTGCCTGCTGTTATGTTCCAAAATGCCACCGACTTCTGGTACAATGAAAAGGGGAATAAATAGGAGCCGTGTCTTCATACTTTCACTTACAGCGGGTTCTCAGTGGGCTGAACGGAGGCGATAGGGTGGCGGCAGCGGACACGCAGCTGAACGAATGCATTTTATAAAACAGCTTTTTTTTTGTTTTGAAGACTAAAACCCAAGAGCTCCCGGCGCTTTCAGCTTCCTCCGTAGAGACCGATCACTGTTAACGCGCAATCAGCACTAAAATACATCACATTAAAACAACATCATAGACGATGCTGAAAATCAATCCGACCGGATTGCTAAATAGCCTCGTGTGCCATAACGCCATGCTGCCCAGAGCCAATAGGAGGATGCGATATATGTATAATTACATTACACTGGTTATGCTGGTCATTTAAAAAAAACATCTCCAGGTACAACGCTGCATGTTAACGTTAGAAACAAACAAAAACCCACTTGCTCAGTCTCAGAGTGTTGTAGCTTCATGAGGATCTCATTTCTACTGCGGCCTATAAGAGTGAATCCATATAAGCGTTCCCCAACCTTTCTAATGACCAGGAACCTTTCATTTCACGGCGCTGTGTACTCCGAGCGGCACTACCGGTCTCCACAACGCGCCTAATGAAGTGGCTGACCTTTCCCGACTGAAGGCGCCCACCGACTCAGCTGCTTAAACACCGCGCTGGGTCAGCAAACAGTAATCCCAATTACGATGCATAACTTCACAATCTGTGGCTTCTTCGTTCGAAGCCCAAGGCAGGTGACTGCCTCGCCGGTCAGGCAATAGCTACGAAAATGATGTTACTAAAACAAAAACAAAAAACGATATGGTGTATTCGGGATAATCCTCAACAAGGTGAAGACAGGTCTGAACATAATCGCTCATTGTCATGGAGCTGTGGGTGGAATTACCCTGCTTGTACCACGGCCACTTGCAAGCCCTTTTTCCCGTGCAAAACGTACGTTTTTGAAGGTCAATAACTAATTCTACAACGAATACACTTCAACTAGTTTACACCTTTCACTGCATATAATCTTTCCTTCATTCATTAGTCAAAGAGTGAAGAATTCTTTGATACAGAAAGTCAAACTGGTTCACCGGATTCCCGCGGGACTTTTGTTATTTTTATTTCTTTTTTTACACAAATGTCTAGACATTCTTCTGAAGAATAAAGCGGCCATCAAGATGATGTGGGATTCAGCCATTGCATTTTCTGCTAGGTTGAGCGTGCCTCTTGGCAACCGGGTTACAGTGACCCCCTATGACCACCCATGACCTCCTATGACAATTCAGGCCTTTCGACATTTATTTAAGCATCGCGCAAGCAAAGGCCACCGCTGTCGAGCTTTCTGTTTGACACACCAAAATTGAGACAAACTGTAATTAACTTGTTAACACTCGGCAGTTGAGCAATGTGGCGTTCTAGCGAAGCCACTTTGAGGCCATGACGCAATCTTCACCTGCTCAATGAGAACCGCTGTCACTTGTCATGGAAGTTGTGCTTCTTACAGAAAACTTGGGGAAATTACATCGGCCTGTCACCTCCGGCAATTCTTTCTCATCGCGCTTTAATTCCTTTGAAGTAACGCGCCGCTCTACGACCGCCGCGCCGGCCCGTCCGCTCACGGTGTGCGTGTATTGATTAATCAAACGTTCAAGCCTTGAAAATTGAAGCGCCCGCATGTGCGACGTTTGATGCGCTGTTTTTAGCGTTGGTTTTATCGTTGCTATTTCAGTGCTTGGTAGATTTTGGATGCGGGGTGGTGCGTGTGCTGTGAGACCCCCCACTGGGCCCCACCGGGTGGTTTTCCCGCGGCGGTTTGTTGTACCCAACACAGATCAGACCTGCAGTGAGGTTACACACCAGGGGAGGTGTTCTCAGAGCCCCCCCCCCCCCCAAAATGCTGTGTTCCGTGTTATCGAGCGTGTGGAGAATGTGCTAATGGGTGGTAAATCGGGAGGAGGGGGGGGGGGGTAAACTTTTCAGAGTGTACGTTTAAATTAGTCCGTCGTGGCGGTGTTCCTGTTGATAGCACATCCTGTTTCTGCATGAGAGGTGCCATTGAAACGACACCTTCCGCTCTGCATCATCCGCAATGCTTCCAGAGCGTTACCCCCACCCGGGTGCCGTCTGACGGTGCACATGCTGCTGGTGTTGCTGTCTCGCGTCCTGAGCGCGATGAGCCTGGTCTGGTATATAAATCAGTGCAGGAGTCATAGTAAATTAAAAGCACCTACCAGCAGGACAGGCGCCTTCTGACATGATGAGCACTTCAGACTGCTGCTTGCAGGCGTCCCTGCGCAGGAAACACTCGTTCTGGTAGTTCTGATTGTTGGAGCCGCACACCGGGGCGTAGTCGTTGTTGCACTGCAGAGTGGAGAGGAGAAAACCGGGGGGGGGTCACATGAAGTCCATGGGAAAAAATACAAAAACCGTGAGTGTGTGTCATAGAATAAGGATGAATGCTTATTCAGTATTCAGCCTTTCAAGCTAGGCGGCATTGTCTTGACAGGCTAAAGGGTTTACTTGACACAGCAAGTGTTTAATCATGAGCTGTGTGTGAGGCCTTGGTGAGGGTCAACTCCATAGTATTCATGCCACTTCAGAAAAATGATGTAAAAGACTCCCATTCTATCACTGTACTAGCTGGTCACTTTCTCTGCTCATCATGCAGCATTTTCAAATGGAAAGAGAGAGATAGTCTCACAGCTAATCCACATATGACAATATATATTATAATATATATATATATATAGCTTACAAAAAAAGTGAGATTGTAATAAAAATTAAACAACTTAAAACCTGTTTGGACGTTTCAAGACCCCTGTATGAATATGAGGTAGGAACAGGTTTTTGTAGACCGTCATTTCCTTTTTTCCCCTATTTTATTGCTTTACAACCTTGATACAGGCAGCGCGCTGTACCTTTCGCAATAGAAGCCACACAAGACATTTTAGCAGAGGCCGATTCAACTCATCCGTTTCCCTCAGAGGAGACCGCATCGGATGACGAATCGGATCAAACCACACAATCACGACCAGCAGGACGACTGCGCCTTAACTTCTTGAGAAATTTTACCTACGGATGTTTTCAGCGCCTTCATTGCTTCTACCAGATGTGCTACACCTTATTATTAACAGGCAGTAGTCATTGAATATATTTCTTCCTCCCTGTTGTCGCCCCACCGGTGCAGTAGCAGGTCAAGTGACTTACTCAAATTCACTGAGCAAAGCAGCTGCTAAGTCACAGGAAAAAAGTACGCATTCATTTCCCCGCATGATGTGTTGGCTTTGGAGCACGTTTAGCTTTTCTTTTCCCTTTCTTTGGCCATAGAGGACAGATATGCAATGTATTTGATATTGATGGCCCTGTGCTACAATGCAGGAATGACAAATGTGGTTATATAATTGTGAAATATTCCCTTCTGTTTCAGGGTCCGGAGAAACTGTTGCGCCGCAGTCATACCCGATAACCTGATTAAATTCAAATGGTGAAAAATGGGTGCTAGAATTGTTGGAGCTGGCCGTGACATCAAAAGGACAAGGAGCTGGTTTGAGAGGCGTCACAGGAAGGAGGCTGAGGAGCTTTGTCTCAGCTTCTGTCCCCCTTGGAAATCTCAAATGGATCGACCTGGAATCTGTCTTCTCTGGGCCCGAAACCCCCGTCTGTGACCTCACAGAACGGGACGGGACTGTGGGAAAGAAATGCCACATTCTGTGAACGCTTCCTAGTCGCACGACACACCAGCTCCAACGCAGCAGATTCGGGCGGCTTCTACGTCCACGGCAAAGCCTGCGCGGGCAAAGCGTCTCTGTCTTCTCATGTTGGGCCTGGGTTCACACTAAGGCCGCAGTCTGAGCGGCTTAAAAACACCCGCCAACGTGAACACACTTTAAAATGTGAATTTAGTGTGAACGGGGGAAAAAAGAGAGCTTTGTTAAAAGGATGGTGTGAGCCGGCTTGGTCACAGTCAGGAGTTACAGTGTAGTGAAACACTTTGCCGTTACCCTTTGGTTTGTGGACTACAGGTTTGAACCATTTGATTTTGGCATTTTGACTGTAGCCATGCTGGTTTGTTTGGCCGCCGCCATCTTGGTTTTTGCAACCAGAAGTGACAGGAGGGAATAAAGTTAATCCATATTCCAGGATTGTGTTTGTGATCTTTGGGGAGGGCGCACGCGGGACAAAGGAAGGACACGTTGCTTCGCCCCAATCAAGTAACAGCCGTCCCCTGGAAGCGCTTCCGGGCGAGACGCAGATCTTTAACCAAAGCACCTGAAGACAGTGGTGCTGAAACTCCCCTTGTTTTCACACATACAATGCCTTTTCAAGTTGTGCCGTCTTGGTGAGAAAGTCATCTGAGCGACGCTGACGCACACAAGGTCTGTCGCGAAAAATAACCGCGCCATCGATTCAGATGCCCGGGAGCTTTGGAACAATCAAGTGCGAACACCGCCTTAAACCGGCTGAGGGGAAGGTGGGAAGAATGGCAGAGTGCACACAAAGAGAGTAAAAGGAGGAGGAGTATTGAAGGGAAAGAGAAACTGCAAACTGGCTTTTGATCAAAGGGACTGAGATGCAGGAGGGAATGGCTGGAGAGCAGATGCGAGGCGAACATGACGAGTGGAAATGGACTTAAGGGGGAGAAGAAGTCAGTGGAAATGGAAGCGAGTGAAACAGAAGGAGACTGGGGGGGAAATGAGAGTAAAGGAAAATACAGACGTGAGACGCAGGCGGCTACAGAGCGGGAGAGAGACCCCGGCCCAACAGACTTGGCGTGATAAAAAAAGAAACAGCCCCCGAAGAAACCACGGCACAAAAAAAAAGAACAATATTAAAAATGTAAAAAAGAATGAAAGGAATAAACATAGACGGAGAGAGAGAAAGAAAGTGCGAGAGAGAGAAAATCCCCTCAAAGGAGAGTGGGAGAGAAGGAAAAAATGGCAAGCGCACAAAGACGCTTGGAATAGCTTACTGCAGGGCCCGCCATCCTCTCTCCTTCCCCTCTGCCTCCCCCTCGCTTCCCCTCACTCTCACACGCTCTCCCATCTGGCTCAGGCTGTTCTTAACCTGGGGACTCTAGCTTTATGCCAGGCATGATGCAACGGAGAGGAAAGCTGCCCGGCACAACCCCGCGGGTATCTTATGAGAGTGCATCCTTTTTTTTCTTCTCCCTGAAAACTCCCCATCTCTTGATCTTCCTCAATTTTTATCTCTCGACCCCCGCGGGAAACGGGAGGAGTGACGGGAGGACGGCTGATTTAAAACCTCCGTCTCTCTCGGAGGACGTGCAAAACGGAGGCAGCTGTGGGCAGATTACAGTCTCGTCCAGATGTGCTCACAGGTGGGTATGAAGGAGGATCCTGTGTGTCGTCTGGGCCCCTTAAAGCATTCTGGGTGCGTCTCTTTTACACTCGAGGCGAGGACGGCCCAGAAGTGAGCGGCTCAGACGGGTCTGGTGGCGGAAACCGATTGCCAAACGTTTAATGAGACAGGACGTAAAAACGCAGCGCGTCTTCATCTCAACTCAACGCCTTCAAACAAAACTTGACTTGGCAGATGTGTGCCAAGTTCCTATTCGCTCATCTGTGACTCCTCTTGGCGTGAAACGTGAGGCAGAGAGCTGAGGTTACAGATTCAAACCGTGCTGGTCTTTACACACTACACGGCCATATGAGAGACACGGGCGTCCTCGTTGCGGCCTTTTTCGTGGCAAAGTGCAGCTTTGATCCCTGAATGCCTTGATGACTGGCGGCGTGTGATGTCAGCTAAGATAAGATCCGTCAGCTGTTGCACTTCACCGTAAGTCGGCCAAATGTAAATGAAACCGGGCGAAGGGGCCGAACAAATGGAACGCGTATGAGAGATGTTTGAATCGGCGATACGGGGCTATTTGAAGGAGGGTTATAAAGGAGATCAAAATGAAGTGGGTGTGTTAATGAGAGGGCGGCAGCGAGCACGGCAGACTGAGAAAATGTGATCCCTCCCAACACCGAGCAGACAGGGTAGCAGGGTAGCTGGGGGCCATATGGCACGGCCTTATGCGCCCGCTGGCTCGGGCTCTGTGGAAGCCGCAAAGACACCTCCGCTGTGACACAACCGAGAGCGCCGTTTTGACCGAGGTGTCGGTGGAGCCACGTGTGTGTGTGTGTGTGTGTGTGTTTGAGCTCTTTGGTGTGACTGGAGTGTCTCGGGGACAGGAAGTATGGAAGAGAAAGCTGCACTCCAGCATAGACCCGTGTCCTCCGGAGATACGTTCGCAGCATAAATCGCTTTATATTCTTTCATATGCCTTCCCGTTCATTCTGTCAGCAGAATTCAGCTTCCATAATCCTCCTGCAGGGGCTGCTGTGGATCTACCTACCCTCGACTCTCCCCGTCAAAGCCCCCAAAAAAGCTACGCTTTGGGACTGGAGCCAGGACCTGTTGTCTCCCTACCTGCCCGGGATCGGTGCGTTGCACGTATGGACGGACACGCACAGGAAAAGAGCCACCGACGCGGCCCATCGACTGGGCACTTAAAAAACTAAATAATCCTCATCCGCGCCCCAACACACACCAACCTGGCAGAACAAGCACGACCATCATCGCTCATTCTGCGCCTCCGTGGCAGCTCACATCGCTGACTTGGGAGAGCGTCCGACATCACCGCCGGCTGACAGGGGTGGAACAAAGACAGGTGGTGAGAGGAGGGAGGAGGGTGGTGGGGGGGGATGCAGACTGAAATAAAAAGCTGGTTTTAGAGGAGGAGGATGTGAGGACAAAAAGGGAGGAAGGTCTGTAAGCGAGAGCGGAGGGGCAGGAAGGCCGGCGGCGTCAGAGAGAAGAGGAGGTAAGAGGCTGAGAGGCGAAAAAGTGTAAGTGACGGACGGCGTGAGGGTGGAGGAGGGCGACGGGCACGGCGGAGGCGAAGCGCTACGAGTGGGAGACAAAGGGGAGGAGGGATGCGAAGTGACGGCGAGGGCGGCCATCGGTGCGTGACTGCGTAGCAGAGGGAAGCAGCGTGCCGGTTTGAGGGGTAGAGCTCTGCCAAATGCGGCGAGGCGCGACGTGACAGGACATCAGCGTCAATAAGCCGGGAAACCAACGAGTCATCCATCCGTCATGCGCAGCTCCACTCCAGCCAAACGCGGACCCCTCCAGGCAACAATTACTCAGACATTTGATACTCTGAGGGATTTGCCGACGGCAGCAGAAGAAGGGTCATTCGGAAGTAAGGCGATTAGCAGGAATGCACGATCATTGGATGCAGAACCGAGATCTAACGATTTTTAACGTTGTAACGCGTTATTTCGTGTTTTTAACATCATGTCTGGTTTAGAATGAGAGTATAAAAACGCTAGCGCTAATGCTCGATAGCTTGGTGA